AACTCTCTGACTCTGAGCGGACGGGCTTTTTGTTCTTGTCCCAAAGTGCGATTGCACGTTCCCCATCGGTCATCGTGGCATCGCTGCGTCTCATTTGTTGCCATGGGACCGCCGTGTGGCTGGAAGAGTCCAACTCTGAAAGCGTCGAGTGCGTCGGCCGTCAGTGTTACGACGCGGATGGGTGCCTTCCTCCTGGACGACCAATGGTGATACATCTGTATCGCCGCGAGCAGTAGTTTCTTCCTGGTGAGAGGTACTGGTCTTGCATTGCCGTTGGTGTCGTTGGAAGCTTGGAGATCCATAACTTCATCTTTGGTGAGAAGTAGGAGATCCATCCATCCGTCGATTCCTTGTTCAGACAGTGCGATGCGCATGTGAGATGCAGTGTACCCTGGGGTGGAAGCATCTTCGCCGCATAGGGTGCATAGGACATGCTTGAGCTTGGCTGCTTCATCGCCATCTTGATGAAGGTGTGGCAGTGCGTAACTGCGACTGTTAATCTGCTAACGTGGGAAATACTACTTGAATAGAGGATTTGTAGAGGTAGCTACCACCCGACGAGATCAACTGCAACTATTCAAGACGAGTGCAAGGTAAATGCAAAGTTCGCTTCTTAGTAATTCATAATCTGTGTTGTGAGCTTTGATTGATGCGATCAGTAAAGCTAGTTGTAGCGTGTTGGATCAATATATCGTGGTAGTTGATACGGAAGTCAACGTGGTATCTGCGGGAAACGGTTCGTTGGCAGGATGCTTTACTCCTGTCGAATACTCCAATTTACCGTGTCCTTTGGTTTCGTTGAGAACGTGTTCTTGCCAGCGTTCTCTGTTCCATCATGTTGACTCATAAAACATGACTCAATCTACTCACGGATACTCTGAGTCGTGGGAGGAACTGTAACGCTTTCACTGACCTGGCAATTTTGTAACCGACCTCGCTGTTTTCGCGCTACCCCATTATGCGCTTCTTAGATGTATGAAATGAACAGTGAAGGATTACACGTTCATGACCCTAGGAAAAAAGGGACGGCACTTGTGAATACTGTCGCCGAAAATAAGGAAGGCTTCAGCAAACGACAAGTTAAAGCCGCATCAAGGGCGAAGCTGCTGTACAAGCAACTCGTCTATCCATCGATTAAAGATTTTCGATGGGCGATTATGAGCAATCAAATCGCAAATTGCCTTGTGACCGTCGAAGACATCGATACGGCACAAGCTATATGGGACAAGGATATTGATGCGTTGAAAGGCAAGACCACTCGGACGAAACCGAACGCAGTGGCAGGCAATGCAATGAAAGTACCGAGAGACGTTTTGCAATTACACAAGGATGTGTTCCTAACGATGGACATCTTCTTTGTGGCAGGAATTCCGTTCCTGTTAACGCTAAGCTGCAAAATCGATTTTACAACATCTAGACACCTGCCCAACAGGAAGCTAGAGACCATCCTAGAAGCAGTTAAGGAGGTCTATCGATTCTACAAGGCTCGTGGTTTTAAAATCACGACCTTTCATGTGGACAATGAGTTTGAGCCTCTGTCCAACACAATCATGGCAATGCCGGGTTGACCGGTAGTGAACGTTGCCAGTGCCAACGAGCACGTACCCGAGATCGAACGTAGAATCCGGGTAGTTAAGGAAAGGACACGAGCTGTCCGGCATAGCCTACCGTTCACACGCATGCCAAAAATATTAACCGTCAACTTGGTGTTACAAGTCGTCAAACAGTTGACGTACTTCCCAAGTAAGGCGGGGGTCAGCCAGACAATGAGCCCCCGTAAGATAATGATGGGAGAGTCCCTGGACTATAAAAAGCACCTGAGCCTGCAGTTCGGAGATTACTGCCAGGTGCATGAAGAAGACTCGCCCCGTAACAGCATGGTAGGACGCACAAAGGCGGCCATCTGTATGGGAACGAGCGGAAATAAGCAAGGAGGCTACAAATTTATGAGCCTCCGCTCCGGCAAGAAAATTACTCGGCATTCGTGGGACAAGATCCCAATGCCCGACACAGTGATAGCTAGAGTCAATCTATTAGGAAAAGATCAGCCTAAACTACTCGTTTTTACTGATCGAAAAAATAGACCCATAGGTGATGTCGAGATCACAGGAGTGGAAGGGGAAGAAAGCAATGACGCACCCCCACTACCAATGCTCCAAACCGATGAGGACCTGGACGCGGATGCTGAAACCATTGGCGAAATGGAAGATGATCCCGACGATCACCAGGCAAATGACGCCGAAGCATCAGAGGTCAACGAACCGAATGAAATAGGCGTTGAACCGAAAATCGAAATGATCGTCTACCCAACCTATCGTTGAGACGGTAGAGGAACCAGAACCCACTATGGACCAACAGCCCCTGGAACAGATCCCAGGAGTGGGCGTTGAAGCCCAAGCGGCACCTGAGCAGACAACAGGAGTGCGCAGGTCCAGCAGAGTGAGGACGCAAGCAAAGAAATCGTATATTCCCAGCTTTGACGCAAAGCAGTATGAGACGCCAAATGTCCATACAAGTGAACGTGTCTTGCATCCAGATGCACACATGTTTTACACACAGGTAGAGGAAGAACCTGATGTGGTAGCAGCCATCATGACACAGTTGTCATTGAAGGCTGGACTCAAGGAGCGGAAGGACAAAGCGCATGATGCAGCCTTTGCCGAGATGAAGCAGTTACATCTCAGGGATACCTTCCGTCCTAAGAAAATGGAAGAACTCAGCAAAATGGAACGCAGGAGTATCCTAGAGTCACACCTGTTCCTAAAGAAGTTGAAAAGGAACGGGAAGATCAAAGGCCGAGCAGTTGCAGGAGGCAACAAACAGCGTGACTTCATCTCCAAGGAACACGCAAGCTCGCCAACAGTGTCGACAGAAGCAGTGCTACTCTCCTGCATAATCGACGCTGAAGAGGAAAGGGATGTGGCAGTAATTGACATCCCGAACGCCTTCATCCAGACACGAGTCGAGGATGAAAAAGATATGGTATTCATTAGAGTAGACATGCTGTGCGAAATTGCCCCAGATGTCTACAAACCGTTCGTGACAACGGATAAGAAAGGCAACAAGCAGTTGCTACTGCAATGCTTGAATGCCATCTATGGTACCATGGTAGCTAGCCTACTATACTATCGTAAGTTCCGGAAAACAATGCTCCGGAACGGATTTAAGATTAATCCTTACGACCCATGTGTAGCCAACAGAATGGTACACGGCAAGCAACAGACAGTCTGCTGGCATGTAGACGACTGTAAGCTTAGCCACAAGGACTCGAAGGTTAACGACCAGCTGATCCAAGTGCTTCGTGATGAATACAAAAGCATATTTGAGGACGGCACTGGAGAGATGACGGTGAGCCGCGGAAAGGTCCACACGTATCTCGGCATGACCATAGACTTCACGACAAAGGGTCAATGCAATGTATCAATGTACAAGTATGTTGATGAAATCCTGGAAGCCTTCGAGAAGGCATCGCCAGAGGAAGGGGGCACGAAGACTAGAAGTAGTGCAGCCCCGAAAGACCTATTCACAGTAGACGAATCCTGCAAGAAGCTCCCAACGAGCAAGGCAGACGCCTTTCACAGCCTGGTGGCTAAGGTGTTGTTCGCTACAAAGAGAGCCCGACCAGACACAGGTACGGCGATATCGTTCCTCACAACTAGAGTCAAGGAACTGGATAGGCAGGATTGGGATAAACTAGTCCACCTCATGCAGTACATTAGGCGTACTAGAAAACTACCATTAGTTCTCAAAGCCGACGGAAGCGGCATATTGAAATGGTATGTTGATGGTTCTTTCGCAGTCCATCCAAACATGAGGGGTCATACCGGAGGTGGTTTGACCATGGGCACCGGTTACCCATTATCGACTTCGACGAAACAGAAGTTGAACACGAGAAGCTCGACTGAGAGCGAACTCGTAGCAGTTGATGACCTGATGCCATCGATCCTTTGGACGAGGCAGTTCCTATGGGAGCAAGGCTATGTAGTTCAAGAAACTATAGTCTATCAGGACAACAAGAGTGCCATACTTCTAGAGAAGAACCGCAAAGCTTCTAGTAGTAAACGAACGAAGCACATCAACATTAGGTACTTCTTTGTGAGCGACAGAGTCGCAAAGAAGGAGATCAGTGTGGACTGGTGTCCAACTGATGATATGGTTGCGGACTTCTGGACGAAGCCAAACCAAGGTCGACTGTTCAAACAGAATGTGGACAAGTTGATGGGTGTAGTGGAACACTCAGAGCCAGGGCACTCAGTAGGAGGGTCACGGCCGGACAAGAAGGTCCATTCAAAGAAGGAGCGCTAAGCAGAGTAAGTAAGTAAGCATGGTCGACGACTAGGACAAGCTCGACGACCACAGGAGTGTGTTGGGGATTCGCGATTAGGGATTCAACCTGTACCTCTGTACTAGAATTTCACACCAGTAGAAAAACAGAGACCACCCATTTTTTCAGTAGTATCTCAATAGCAATGGTAAACTAGAGAGCTTAGTGAATCTAACACTGTTGTGATGCTGATCGGAGATGGTCTTGGGTTTGCCGGTTCTTGAGTTGGGACACCAGCGGCAGGGCACTCCAAATTCTCCCTTTGGGCGACCTGGGAACCCATGACAGGTTGACCAGCCACAGATGGTGATGGTGGACCAAAGGCAGGGGTCAAACGATCTCCCACCAGCTCCCTTCTCTGCAAGGTACGCTCCAGAATCGGATCAGTGGGGTTGGATGGCTCAGCCCAGCTGGAATCTTCAACATATTCATAGACGGAGTCTCCAAACATCTGATTCCACTCAGGTGAGTTGAAATCAGGAAGATCCTCAGAGCTGCTGCCAACCGTGGCAACCAGCCATCGAAAACACAGTGGTAGGGGGTGGTGAAAGAGCGGGTTCGAGGATTCAACACAATGGGTGTACCACCAATGTGGTTGGGGGAAATCCCCATGAAAATCACACGCTCACTCCTTGCTGCCCATTTTGGCATTTTCTTCCCATCAGCCGGCGCTTGTCTAGAAGATACAGCCCCACAAATGCAAATCTTGAAGACGCCGTTGTGGTTGGCGTGTCCCCATGAAGATGTCCAGGGGAGACTGGCCGGAATCAACCTTAGGCACTCGGTTGAAATGAAAACTGAATGGGCCACAGCCATGGGCTGGCCACAACGTGGCATCAGCCATGGAGGGCCAGTGGATGGCGGAGTGAAGCATCATGGTATGTGCAATGGACATGATGGTCCGAATGGCACGCTCAGCCACAGCATTGTGGTGGTGAACACCGGTCCCTGCAAAACTCTGCTTGTTCTCAGCCAGCAGGGAGTCCTTGTATGCCTTGGAAGTGAAAGTGGCACCACTGTCCGTGACATACTCAGTGGGGACAACTCCATGGTCCAAGCAGAACATCTCCAACAGCTTGATGGCTTCCAGGGTCTCATGAGTGTTCAGATGGTCCTGGGGAAAGTGGAGAACCGTTGAACTTCTACAACAGACAGCATTCAGCCCTCCAATGTAGCAGTGAGAGTTGGCACCACCGTGGCTGGTCTGCTTGACGCCCTTGGTGGAGCACACCTGGTGGTCCAGGCAGAAAGAGCCAGGTGAAACTTTGCCATCTTTGAGAGTTGGAGGCTTGTCATGCACAGCTCCAGTGTTCTTGCTGGGAGTCTTGCTTGTCAAAACAGTCTGCTTGCCAAACTGGCAGGCAGCACATTTGGGGACTTGAGACAGAGTGTGCAAGGTCCGCCTGTTGGGAGACACAGCCAGCATTCCAGCCTTCACAAGAAATTGGATTTTCCTGAAGTCCAAGTGTCCAAGTCTCTGGTGCCAGTGGACGAGTTCCTTTTCTGGGTCACTGAGACTGATAATGTGGGTATCCACAGTGGTGGTCAAATTGTGCAAGGTGACAGTAGCGCTGGAAATCTCACTTGGGTGGTAGCCAATGCAGGTTGGGATGTTGTTGATGGCATTGATGAAAGCTTTGACCTCCTGACGGCTAGGATCTCCCTTGATCCCAGAGAGGGTGGTAGCTTGATAATCCAAAACAATGTGCTTACCAGTGTAGGTTTGCAGGACTTGAGCAGTGGGCTCCTGGGGACATAGTAGGCTGGCAGGCAAAAAACTCGAAAATTGCCATCAACTCCTTGAACAGCCCATTCTACAGTACCAATTCCTTCTATGGTCAGCCCAACAGCAAGTCCAGTCAGCTTTTTCAACATGCCTGGCATCTTCATGTCTCCAACAAAATCCGTGCAGTCATTAGTAATGCAATGACTGGCACCACTATCCCAGATAGCTGAAAACTCCCTGAGGAGGACTTCATTGCTCCCCTCATCTGGTGTGGGGAGACCAAGGCTTGCTGGGTCACTTGTGCCATGAGTCCCAAGGTAATGTTGCTGGACTCACTCCCTTAATCTGGATAGCCAAACATTTCCTGGTCCATAGAAGAGTCGCTGATGGACATGTGATCATCAGGTAGGATGGGAGACTGACTTGAAGAACTGGAACTGGAGCTATCCTGACTGCTCTCATCAGTGCTGAAGAAGTCAGTGTATCTCCTACCGTTGATGTAGTACTTCCCTGGGTGATTGGCTCCACCGGTGGTTGACCCGTTGTTGGAAGAGTGGGTCGAACTGGGTCTGTGTGGACTGAAATCATCAGTTTGAGTTTGACTCGTTGATTAGTAGTGATTTTATTCCTATTGTGCTACTGCGCCAATGGCTATTGCTTTTTAATTCACTTTCTGAACACCTGGCACTATTGGCTCGAGGTGAGAAAGGAGAACTGGTCCTGATGTTGTATAGGCCGGAGGAAGGAGGAGTGGTAATGGAAAAAAGAAAAGGGAAAAGAAAAATGAAAGAAAAGGGAAAAGAAAAATGGAAGCAGGTTCATTCACCGATCGGTGAATTACGTCCTGCACCTGGATCATCGACGTTGTTGGATGTAATAATGATCTCGAATGGTTGATGCTGCCGTCGCATCGGTATAGTAACATAGGATGGCTGTCAGAAACAGCGGGTCGGAAGGGGGTGACACATATTCTCAATCCAATGTTTGGCTGTGGGGATTTCTGCATGACTTCGGGTTGTTGCCACAGTGAATGCTGAATGGAGGAAGTGCCGATGTGCTCAAAGGAGTTATATTGATGATGGAATGGTTGGCTTCTATCGTCCAATCTCTCTTCCGGTGGTGTTCCTATGGCTCCGATGTGGGAATTTCTGTTTACTCAGGTTGTTGCCACAGTTGAGAGTCATTGAAAGAATCAACGGAAGGAGGTCCATTGTGGGGATTTCTGCTATCATTCAGGTTGTTGCCACTATGAGTGTTGGTTGGTAGAAGGGCCATTTGTGTCTTGTTCATTTCTGTCTTGTGGTTGGGATGGAGTTGGTCGGTCGTTTGAAGTAGGTCGGTCGTCGCAATAGGATCGACAGCAGGACGAGGCTCGCTGTTGATCGTAGCAGCCGACTGGAACTGGTGGTGTTGATATAATATGGGATGCTTCGGAGTCAACTCGGATGAT